ACCATTTCCTACTTTATAATTTAAGTTGACTATTTTATTATTTAATTAACTACCTATATTATTACTTATTATAATATAATCGTACAATGTACAAGATGGTATCATAATTCATTAACATATTATTATAATTATCTCATCATTCTCATCACTATTACACTATATCTATAATAATAGACATTAGGCACCTATTATTATTATTATTGCAATGTCCTACAAAAAACTTATCTTATTTTAAACACCTAGTAAGTAAGGCCGTACCTTTAGTCTACATTTGTTATACTTATTGATTAATTTCGTTTTTTGTAAGTACAATTGGTAATATTATCCTAAATATTTGAAGCTCTGAGAAAAGCAATGAATGTATTTATTTTTCAATGATGTGTGTGTTGGCAAAACCAATTTGTTTCTCAAGTGTATCTCAAAAACGAATAACTGAAGGTACTTGAAATATTATATCCAAATGTGTAAAATATACCTATTAGCACTTCATGTTTCAACACATAATATTATGATGTAATTGAATACCTTGGTAGGTAGTTCAAAATGGACAAAATTAAAAATACATTGAATACAAAAATAAAATGTTTGAAAAAATTTTGAATTTTTCATAATCACCCCTCATCGTAATCTACAGCCATTTTGATCTGTATATAATGTAAATAGTACGTATATAAAATAAATAAATGCATCATAAATAATTACATACTATTAAATTTTAAATGTTAATAGAGTTAGATACCTACCTATGTAGACTCGTGGAATAATCCGAGTATTCCGAGTAGATGCAAAATACTCAAAATAACTTCAAAAGGTTATAGCTTTGAAAATATAAGTACGACCAACAAATATTCTGATTGCATTATTGTTCATAACTATTGATGGTATGCATAGGTTTCCGTAAAATGTTTTCCAAAAATCGCTTGGGAGCTAAACCGCATTCAAAATATTTGTGCACTACCAAGTGATTGCCTTTAGTGTTTATTACGGGAGATGGTAAACTACGGCAAAATTAACCTTTTTCTAAAAATTAATATGTAAACTGCGACCAGAAGAAATGTAACGTTATACATAATCAGCTGCGACAAAACCGATAATATATGTACATCATACAAACTGAGGCAATTTATTTTATATACCTTCTATAATATAATATACTATGTATACATATCGAATATCGATACGATAACATAATATATATACGTTTATCGTTTAATTAGGTATAATACGTATTATGACAGTTATAAGCGTATTTTACCAGTGGCTTAACTATTGATGATCGATAACGTTTGTAGTTTGTACGCTATCTTGTTACATGTACCTAGGTACATATTATTAAATGTTTATGGTGTGCATATTATATTATACTCCATAGAACCATTAGAACCATAGAAGTCCCTATAGAGACTCTTAGAGTATTAGGCGTAAAAATAAACAAAAGACCAATTTTAAAATTGAAAAATATTATTATTATTAAAAATTATTTTAAGAGATCTCGTTGATCGTATAATTATCGTATATTATTATCTTAGTTATGCTATCATTGGGTAGTCGGGTTTTTATGTACCTATTATTTCTATAAAATATACTTAAGTACCTATAATACCTATAAATAAGTACTTAAATATGGTTTGCCAGTTTTAAAAAAAAGTCATGGGGGGGATACGACACACAAATCCCCCCTCCGTAATTATGCCACTGTTTCGTTGGTGTACCTATCGTATCTATACCAACAAATTTTACGAGTGTTTATATCGTATTTTACATAAGTACTAAGTTTATTGAACTAAAATGTACTTAATGTATTGCTGATGAACATAACTGTCAAATATTTTAATACGTTATAATAATATAATATATTATATTGTTTTCAGTTTTGTTGTTTTTACGTCATCCCAGAAAAATTCAAATAAATTGTCGTGTTGTGTTTTAATGGACCACCACCACCATTCTCTTTTATTTGGCGATCTAACAAATCTTTTGATTGACACAGCGAAGGGGAAGGACACAACACAGACTAAAATTATATAATATCTAAAAGTAAGTTATTATGGGTCTTAGTGGATACTTAACAGTAAGTTAACACTATGGCTACTTCTCTATTATATTAGCATTGTATGACACTATATTATTATGATCGTTATAATATGTTGTTTGTCTTAATAACTCAAGTGACAGGTACTTTTCCGTAATAAAATAAAATAAATATATAACATAATACCTACCATATATTATAACTATATAAGAGTAAATATGACAGATATGTATGTCATATTATTTGGTTGGTAGCATACTACTTGTATGACGTATACAGTTTTTTGGTAGATAGCATAGGTTATTAGCTAACTTAACCTTCCTAATTTTGGTATCATCACATCGCGAAAACGATATAATTATTTTGGGATGGTGGTCATTTTAAATTTATCAATAAAATATTATTTAATTAATAATATATATACGTATAGAATATGTATTATCTTACATACATATTTAAGTGTAATTAAAATTAACGAAGAAATGGACAATATTATGCTATTGAAATATTTAGTATAACTATTATTATTTATTATTTGATATGATGTAGCCTATATAAGTGGTACCTATATAACATTTAAAATTAAAATGTTTATATTTAGCTATCCCGAATAAAATTGAATATATGTATATTAAAAGCATGTTATAATAATTTTGTAATATTATGTAACTATATAACTATAACCGATGGGTAGACATTGTATCAATGTTGTCGACAGTGGGCTGTATACGGACATAATACAATCAAATAATAATATTAATACTTACTACATATCTATAGATATAAGTATAACTGTATGTAAGATCTATGAGACGTGTAACACGTCATACACGGTCGTAATTCGACGTGAACGACTGCAGATAGCTAATGTAAATATTATAAATTATAATGCAATACTGAACCAACAAACTGCACACTTATGAGTTTATTATTTACTAATTATTACTAGTGCACGCGCGATAGACGACAACACGACTACCTATATATTATATTATATAGTAGCAAATAGCCAGAAGGTACAATTGTACAAATATTCCGACTACACTAAGTAGTATACTACTTACTAGTATACTATACAGAGCGTCACAGCAGGGACTAAAATTGTGTGTAGTACGAAATGCGAAGTATGTGGAATACGAAATTAAAAATTGTGTAATGGTCTGTAATAACAACAGTAACTTTTTTTACAGTTTTTTCTTCATTGATTGAAAAATTATTTGATGTTACATTGGGAAATAGATAAGAATATTAAATATTAATAATAATAATTATTATTAGTTTTTACTTATATATACAATAGGTATTTAAAATATAATAAAAAAAAAAATAAAAATATTTCCAACGATCGATACGTTAAATAATTATACAAATAATTATCAAACAATAGTAAACGAATGTAGGTAACTATTCTTTTAAAAGAACCATTAACATAGGTATAATAATATATATTAATAAATATTTGAAACAATACCTAGTAGTATAGATATAGGTATACCTATTAATTATTATGTGCCGATAATGCATTTCATCTTTTTCATAATCGTCAATGGCCGATTAATAGGTCGTATACAGAGATGTAAGCTTGAACATTTTTTTAGATTCTGAGTGAAACGATGAATGTATTGATTTTACAATGATGTGTGTTTTTTTTATTTTTTTATTTTTATTTTTTTTGTGTCTGTGTACAAGATAAGTAGTCGAAATAATGCTTCGATTTTCAACTTCAGTATCTTGTTCTATTGGAAAGTGAATATCGTTGGTGCATTGGGGAGGTCAAAATTTAAAATTCCTAGGAATTTTCAAAAGCGCCAAGAAAAACAAAAGAAAAATTAAGGAAAAACGGGAATTTTTACGCAAAATCGATTTTTCAGAAAATTGAATTTGGTTTTTGGTGTAACTTTAAAACAAATGACCGTAGATACATGAAATTTTCACTGGTTGCATATATTTGCATTTTCTATACACGATAACAGTTTCAAAATATTTTGATTTATTTTGAACTGTTTAGGGACATTTTCATTTTTCATTTTTTTTTTAGTTTTTTTTCTTGAAATATCAATAAAATTTTATTTGTTGGTTAAAAAAACTTGAAAATTTAGTAGAAGGCTCCTAATCTATTGTTACAATAGCAATTGAAAAATATTAAAAATACATAGGCACAATTTTTTTTTTATAAGCATTTAAAGATCGAATTTTGACAAAATTTATCAAAATCTCAAAAATTATCAATCATCGTAATTAATAAATTATAAAATGTTCAGTTTTTATAGCTAAGGATTGAAAATTTAAAAAAAAGATTCTCATAAATAGTTCATACTGTAGCCAAAAAATCTAAAAAGTATATGAGCACAGTTATTTTTTACAGACATTTTAAGTTCAAATTTGGGACGAAATTACATATTAAAAAACCTAGCATACTTATTTTAGTTATTTTGTTGTGAGTGTATAATACTATTCGTGGGTACTTGAAACTTCTCAAGTACACTATATTATATATCTATGATAGTATCAGGCCAGCAGGGTTTGTTATTGATGTATAACGTATTATCATAGCTTGTTGGGCAACCACCTTATCTTTAATCGTGCATTTAACCAATTGTCAAATGAGCAGTATACCAATTTTCGAAATAATTTAAAAGGTGGAATTTTAGTAAAAGAAATGGATGCTTTACAGACTTCATCCTGTGGAAATGATCTCAGGCCAGTTTTGAAACTCAATAAATTTGCACCGTCGCTTAAGACGGATAACCTTCACTCTGTTAGAATACTAGAAGGATTACAATCTCAACGCAAGTATGTTGTCAATGATTTCAGCTTCATTAAAAATAAATAATTAGTAGGTACCTAACACGTTTTTGTTTTTACTTTTTAGCAATGAAGATTGTGATATTAGATTTGAAACAGATGACGGTACTATAGTATTTGCACATAAAATGTTCTGATGGCAGGTAGTACATATTTCCGTGCAATGTTTAGTAATTTTGATGAAACCAATAAAGATGTTGTTAATATAAGACAATTAGACTCCGTCGCTTTACAACTATTAGTAGATTATATCTACACTGGAGAAATTATAGTGACAAAAGAAAATGTACAGGTATGATTAACAATTTGATTTGTTGTAGACTAATATAAAATTGTTTTAAATGTATTATTGTTGATTTTCAAGGTCTTATTACCGGCTGCAAGCATCTTGCAGTTGGATTTTGTAAGTGCTGCATGTGCTATGTTTTTACAAAAACAACTGGAGAGCGTCATAGCTGTACGGAATCGTTATCCAGTTTTGAAGCATTAATAAAAAAAAATGTTTTAATTGTCAACTTTAAAAATATATTGAATTAAAATTACATTTTTTATAGGAGTAGCTGTATTAGATGGTTCGTTGTGTGTTACGGGCTGAGAATTTAATGGTACTGTAGAAATTTACAACCCAATCACCAAAACTTGGACCATGGATATATTGTCGAAACATGAAATTTATTGTGGAGTAGTCGTTAATAGACTATCACATCAAAAATAATAAGCATAAAACAGAATGTTCTCACTGTGGTTAGTAATTTGAACATATTTATATATAATTTAGTATGAAACGTGTATTGTTCTGGACGCATGTAAAAGCCCGGAAAATAATTGTACGGACCGTAGGATTCCGGAATGTAAATATTCGGACCGTAATATCACGGACCGTAAGAATCCGGAAAGTGGTAAACCGTATATTTCCGGACTGTAAAAATCCGGAAAATAAAAATGTACGGACTGTAATATAACGGACCGTAAAATTCCGGAAAGTAAAAATGTACGAACTGTTATATCACGGACCGTAAAAATCCGGAAAATATAAATACGCGGAGTGTAATGCCCCGGACCGTAAGAATCCGGAAAATAAAAAAACCGTTACTAGCGCTCTCAAGTGGAGTATAATAAATTGCCTTAACAATAAATTTTTACCCACATGAATTCATCGAAATAGGTATCTATGTTGACGAGCTGTAGGTTAGCTGTAGGTTAGCTGTAACGTTTCTTGTTGCGCCATTTAAAGAATCCCTACAACCTATCGATATTCAGTATTTCAGTGTGTATTGTATACTGTATTTGTGTATTATGTCCAGATTTGCATTGTAAAACCTTAACGAATTATACGTTTAACAAACTACACTACACGAGTACACGACTACAAACAGTATTGACAATATGAAAAATACGATAGTGTTGTTGGGAAATTCCGTAAAGGTAGTCGTAATAACCGAATTGCTTATTTATTACCAAACAGTTATGGTAGACGCAATAACCGATAAGTACCACAAAAAATTGTTCAGAAGGTGATAAATTTATCTTTAAATAAGAATAAAAATAATAAATTAATATACTCGCAGTACCTATAGTAGTCAGTACCTATAAGTATACTAATACTTAACTACAAAATCAGGGGCGGACCCAGGGGGGGAAGTCAGGTGACCCACAGTTTTTTTCCAGTTAAATGTGGCCCCTCGAAATAGCAAACTATGTAAACATTTTTTTATTCGAAAAAATTGTGAACAGTGGCTGATTTAGAGGAGGAGCACGTGCACCGCTGTCAATTTTCTGTCGACAATTTATTATGTAACTACTAGTATAGTAGTATCATAAAAATTAAAATTCCAGTTAATAAGAATAATACTATCAACTATTAATTATTATTTACTATAATCATTATTCTTTAAAAATGATAGTATGTATAATGTATTATTAATTAAAATTAAAATTATACAATTTATAAGTGCCCCCCCCCCTATGAAAATATCGAAGATCTGCTATTATGATGAAGGGTTATATACTTATATACAGACGTGAAGACCGAGTATTGAAGTAAAATAGCGCGTACGATATCGTGCTTAAACTTATCAACTTTTAAATTATAATGTACCTAAATTCGAAAAACACAAGTACAAAAATATGTTAGATATATTATAGGTATAAGATTTTATGAAGTTGACATAGATGAAATTGATATAGAAGTGGAATATCGTTCATTATATCTAGTTTACCAACAAGTGTATGACAAAACTATTGAAACTGGAGTAACTGGACCTTTAAAATTAAATTAAGTATTGAAGTGCATGATATCACGAGACATGGTTTCTTCGTATCCAAGTTTAGGTATATACTTTGTATAACATTTTTATTATATTATACAATTTCAGTCAGCAGTGCAACTGCAGAAAGAAGTTTTAGCCGTCTAAAACTTCTCAAAACATGCCTTCGCTCAACTATGACTAACGATCGGCTATCAAATTTGGCCATATTGAGCATAGCAATCAACATAGCTGATTAAACCATATATCTAGATTAAACCATTGATTTTGGTAACGTAATAAGTACATTTGCACTATAATGAAAAAGCGCAGAAAATTATTGTAATGTTCAAGTTCTTTACTATTATTTTCATGTAGGTATTATAAAATATAAAATTTATAAATGTATTATTTTTGACTTTTGTAGGTATTGTATTAGAATTTAGAACCCTCTTCTATATTTCTTGTGGAAACGAAATCAGTCATTGAAAACTAAAATGAAATAAATATACTGCAAATATACGTATAAAAATAAAATAATAAATATGTACCTATAGTCCCTTCTAATGATTTAAATATGTCAGGTAATTTTTTAATTGAATATAAATTGTAATGTAACAAATAAAAATAACAATCAATTAAATATAGCTTTAATACTAAATCGTGTAAGTAAATTTTACAATTTACTTAAAAATATGTTATGACTCATGTAATATAGTTATATTGAATGTTGGTATCAAAATGTGATGTAAATAACTAATATATCGCGAGCGCATTGGGTGACTTTTTAATACCTAGTTGGTTGAAGTTTCTACACAGTGGCCTCTCATAAGTAAGGCAAACCCACAGTTCTAAAATCCTGGGTACGCCACTGTACAAAATGATGTTATTGTTAAAAAAAAATGAAGCCATAGAAATAAAATATCTTGGGCTGATCAATTGTCTCCGTTAAAAATCGTTTTTCATCGTATAGGTACAATGAATAATGATTAAATTCATTGAATTCGAATTTAACACAACCATCAATGACCAACTCAATGACCTACTAATTACTATACAGCAGAGCGAGTTTCCGGTTTAGGTATATATAAAATATAAATATATATAAGATTAACAAAAATCATTTATTATTTTAACTCAAAATAAAAATATTCATAAAATATGTATACCTAATAATTAATAATAAATGTTATTACATATAGGTACCTAGTTACTTAATTACATAATTTAGTTTATGTTACACATTTATAAGTTCTGTCTAGCTGTATACATTGAAATATACATGTGTGTATCCTGGCTATCCAGCACTAAGGTGATGGCTTGAAAGTAGTTGAAACTAAGTAAAAAAAAAAAGCGACTTGCCACTAACATATATTAACAGGAGCCAAAGTTTTTTTTTTTCAATGGTATAACTCTGGATCCTGTAAATAATAATTTGTGCTAATCCGAATAAGGTCATATTATAAGGTATCAATCGATCAGAAATATTGTGCAAATGTCAACGGGGGAACTTTAAATGTTTATAGTTAGATAATATTATGTTTGTTAACTATATGCGGTTTATGAGTTATGACACGACCCTAGCGCCTGCGTTCTCTTCTCAACCCATTGAGATATACTATATAATATATAATATATATAGTATTACATCTCGTTGGCTATCAACCGTACTCACTGCCACTCTGTCCCAAGAGGGAGAATATCGAGATTGATATTATGGTAAGATCACGGTTGCTCATTGATATTGTTCTATGCTGATGCCTGATACAGTGATACGTGTCGGGAAGTCCGGTGTATGAGTCGCGGGTTCAAATCCCGTACCGTATTTTTTTCATTTAATTCTCGATATCTCTCCCAAGACCGGCCACAGCACTATTGTGGCAGCGTCAACTATTAACTTATAGCTTAACTTTCTAAGCATTGACTTAATTTAACTAACTAATGTTAATTTTTTCATTAATTTGACCCCTTTAATTAGATAATATATAGGTATAGGTTGGTGAGTACCTATACATGGCTATGGCTATATTTCACTATATCTGTTGAGCGCGTTTACGAGTGTTAAATTATAATTTCTAATGACCTACACAATTATTATTATTATTATTATTATTATGCAGCATTTTAATAATAATGCCTTGCTAGTTGCTAGGCCAGGGCTTATTCCGATAGCTTTAGTGAGTCCGGGAGCTGAAAAACTATCCGGACACCCTTTGCTTAGGTACTAAACAATATAATACAATTATACAATACATTAATACAATATTATATTATCCTATAATATATTTATAAATACCACTTTAGTACTATTTTAAAGTCATAGTCCTTATTTTTTTATAAAACTGCATATAATAATAATATAATAATATATAATATAATATAACAATATACTTTATATAGGTACCTACTGCAGTTATATTGTCCGCTTACTGCCCTTACCAGTCTTTTTCATAGTAATAAACTATAGTCATTTTTGGCCAGTTATTGTTCTACCGCTAATAATTCTAAGCTTTATAGTGTCTTGCTACATTGTTGCAAGTAACATTTATTATTGAATTTCTTTAACACTGAAAAGTAGAACTTGCTTCTGTAACAGTTAGGTACCTATAATATTGTGTTAAAA